AGACAAATGACTTGAGATGGCAGCAGAGCGTGAAAGCGAGCGTCGGTACGGCGACACAGAGCTTCTGAAGAGGGGAAAGGGAGGCGGGAGGAGCTCCGTCCTTCGGGGGACACGCACCATCGCTCCGGCCTCCTGACAGCCGGCGAGTCGGTGTCGGCGGGGTCGCGCGAGCTTACGTGATTCATAACGGAGGAAAAAAGGCACCTGGAAGTAAAGAGGAGCGGGAAGCAAACACAAACTTGTACTGATCACGGGAGGTTAGAACTGCACAGGAGGAAGAGGAGGAGGAGGAGGAGCTGGTGGTTTTGGGAGCACTACTGAGATCTGTAAAACGGACCACGAGACACTTTATTTCCAATGAAGATTTTTATTTTAAGTATACTGGAAATTCTCTCTTTTTTTAGATTTTAAATTTGCAGAACAGTTCAGTTGCCAAATGTGAAAATGGGCCACATTGACACGTGAGTGCTGCTGAATCGACTTATTGATTAGGTGATGGGAAAACGTTGCATTCATTTCATGAATTTTCTCCTTTTTTTGCTTTACATTTCTTACAAGTTAATCCATGGATTGTGGTCAATTTCAAAAGAGAAGAGTTTAGAGGGCAAAACATTTAACAGAAGAAAAGAAAAGAAGCTTTTTTAACTTTGTGACAGAGACACCAGTTGCATAAAATACATCACATATTAAATGTGGCTATTGTGCTTCTACCGTTGCGCCTTGACTGATCGATCATCTTTCTTTTTTTTTTAAGAGTTGTGTTTAAAATCTATAGATTATATATATATATATATATATATAGAGATTATTATATATAGATTATATATGTATATATAATATATTAATGTAGTCCATGTTTTTCATGGCTGCTGCTTGGCCTTCGTTGTAACTGTTGATTGGCAGATTTTGGTGGCGTTTGAAGCAGATTTGAAGCACTCTTATAAGAGGAACAGCCACAAATCCTTAAAAGGCCAAAATAAATTCTAAATGAATTAACCTCCTGTTTTATCTCCAATTAAAAAGATGCCATGAATCAGTTCTACGTACCTGCAAATCGAAGAAAAAAAAAAACTGTTGTTCACTCACTCAGTTACCTGAGGTCAAACAGGTGAAATGGTCACTAAGGTTAAATACGGTACTTTAAAGATGTTAATGGGAGGGGCAGGTCCACTAACGTAGACAGACAGCAGGTCACACACACACACACACACAGAGGACAGAGGACAAGCAGCCGCTTAAAATGTGACTAGACAGGTAGTTTCGCCCCTCAAAATAACAAGTGTGCCTCACAGAGTTCGTGTAAAGCGGCGGCCTTCCCGTCGCACACTGAGCTTCAGGCGTGATGGAAAAAGTGACACAAAGGAAGTGATGCTAGAAAGTCAACAAATGTCAGAGGAGTTGATGTAAAAACTAAAAAAAACAAAACACGAATTCCCTGAAAGTGACTTGCAGGAGTCGTGCAGGTGTGCACGAAGCCGAACGTTTAGCTCACATCTCCTCGGCTGCTTGCGCCGAACAAACCTTCCCTCCAGACTCCTCTCGGCTCATCGGAGGAATGTGTTTAAATTCTTCAAAACAGATTCCATCTTTGTTCTCCGATTCCAGACAAGCATCTCCGTCAGGACAGATTTTTAACTTCCCTTCGGCTACGGCTTGGTCTCGCGTTGCTACGTGAACTGTTATCCCCAAACGTCTGCTACAACGGCAGAGACGCACACTGTCTTGTGTGGTTTTGAGTCTGTCACGCCGGTTTGAAGCCAGCTGTGACACCGTCGGACCCAAAGCCTGCATTTGAATGCATTCGTGTAGAACGTTGACAATCTAATCCACGGAAAAGATCGGCACTCAGATCAGATTATCTGTCCACGACCACAAAACTGGTGTGTCCACGCGGGGACGCACAGGATGAAAAAATGTAAAGTGTGTGTACATTTTTTAAGGAATTCAGATGGGATCTTTGAAGATGCAAACAGAACTGCAGTCATTTTTAACTAAAAGTATAAAAAGCGACATTTAGTAAAGCGGGTTGAGTTTGGGTGGATTTCCTTGATTGTAATTCAGAAATTTGGTGCAGCCATGTTTCAGAAAAGGGACGCAAGAGTCGTTGGTGACACAGACGACGGTGCAAATCCAACATTGAGATTCCAACAGTCTCCCTGCAAGTGTGTTTTTAAAAAAAAAGAACCTGGACGTCCCGTACCTGGATGAGACACTTGCTGACGTCGCTGGCACAGAGGGCTTTGTTGCAGCCGGAGGTCAGAGACAGTCCCGATAGGAGGAAGAGGAGAGCGGCGGTGGTGGTGGCGGCGGCGGGGAGGATTAGCTGACCGGGCCTCATCCTGACAGCTCACCAGCACGGCACTGGAAACACCTACGTCAACACGAGACACGGGACAGGACCTCAGGGACCAGGACAAATAAACAAGACTCCATCACCGGCATTCCACACCAGGAAAAAGTGGAAAGCTGCAACAAAAACAGATAAGAAGACCGAAAAAAGGGGGGAAAGTGGTGCATGATGGTAAAAAATACACTTTTTAGATTCTTCATACTGAGGAGGAGGATATTTATATTTATCTATCGGGCAGATTTTTGTGAGATCCAACGCTAAAAGGGGCTACAGACATTTATACACACACGCACATATAGATGCATCACATACACATATATATATATATATATATATATATATATATATATATATATATATATAGATGCATCACATACACATATATATATATATATATATATATATATATATATATATATATATATATATATATATATATCACAGCTCTGAGATACGAAGAAGCACACGATTGACATGTAAATATCCCACTTGTGAGAGGCTCACGTCACGTTTCATTCAGAGGCAGAACCCACTCGCGATGCAGTGGGATAACAACACAACACACCACACACACACACACGCACACATCTGGCAACATCAGCTTCCTTTCACCTATTTTCCCCCAAACGGTAACGCGTGAACACGCCGCCTTCAGCCCCGTTTCGCCGCGTTCCCACACATCGCTCCACTTCACGTGACGGAGGACAAAAACATGTGGGCAAACATCAGCTCCCTCAAGTCACCGACGCGTTTCTGCACCTTTTCTCTTTTTTTACGGCTCATCGCCGACACCGAAACTTTCCACCTCAGAAAAAAAACAGCCCACGTTAATAAAAAAACGAGAGAGAGAGAAGGAGTTTGAAACTCACCACAACGCCCGCTAACGAGTCCGAGACGTTCTGTCTTTTCTTTTCTTTTTTTCTTAAGGAAAGAGAGGGTGTCTGTTCCCCCTTTGAACTTCCCCGGGATGGTGTTGCTTCTGCCGCCGCTCAAGTGTCCGCTGCGTGTCCGGAGGGCGTCAGTCTCTCCGCAGCAGAAAGCGACAGGCAGTCGGGCGCCTTAAAGGCACACGCTCCATTTTCTACCCGAACGTCTGTGGGGAGGGAAGCGCGCGCGCGCACGCACACACACACACACACACACACACACACGGGCGCGCGGCGGAGCGTCTTTAGTGTAACGGACTTGGATGATGAGCGCCACAAAGAGACAACACATCTACATGTGCGTCAGAGTAAAGTCTCCGTGTCCCTCCTGTGGACATTGGCCGCCCGTTTAAGGGCTGTCTGTCCCAGGACCCCCCCCCCCATTTTAAGGGCCCTTTGTCTCCCGTCTTATCGGCGGCCTCGCGAGTGCGCTCATTAGGTGAGAAAAAGAGCGATTCGGAAGCTCTGAAGTGGCGCGGACTTCCCGCTGAGACGCGTCCTCCTCCTCTTCCTCACCCTCTTCCTCCCCCCCCCACAGAGCTCATTCTGTAGCGGCCAGGCCACGGCGGAAACCTCCTCTGATGGTTCCTTTCACTCTATGGGTGGTGCGGGGGGGGGGAGTTTACACGTGTTCTTCCTTCTTCAAAACAGCCCAACAGGCCGCGCGTCCTGCAGGGAGCCCCGCGAGGAATCAAGGGCCGCTTTCACTTTAATCAGATGGAAGAGGGATTTAATTCTGGATTTTATAACAAGGCAAAAAATCAAGTGACACATGCAGGTCAATCGAAAGGGCTTTGTGTTTTTCATGTTGGTGGAGGTTATACTTTTACACAGACTCCATGCAGGCTCATTGGACAGCAGGAGGGTCAGAACGGAGCCACCGATCGTAGCAAGTGCAGCCTTGTTGATGCAAATGGGTGTAAAACACAAAACTCGGTATGTTAAAAAAAAGTTCAGAAATGTAGTTCTGAGTGTGAGGCGACAAATGAAGCTTCTCCCTCTGTTGTGTTGAGGCCTTCACCAAGAACGACAAAGCAAAGGTTTTTTCCAACTTGAAGCGTTGCATTTGTCCCTGGAGATGCAACAGGTACCCAACAACATGCAGCACACTGTTGTGCGCGAAAGCAATTCAGTTTTTCTAAGTTAGGAGAAATATTTTAAGTGATTTTACGTTAATGAAAGTAATACACTTGTGTAATACTCAATGCAAGCAAAACATTCTATGTAGAGTACCTAATGGCTGGCAGCAAAATGTAAATATCAAATGTAAAAGTACACAAAGCAAAAGGAAAAATTTTGCAATATTAATCATTTGTTATATTTGAAGCTGATGCATTGATATTTAAGCAGCGTGTCCCAGACTATGAATGATACGTACAGGTTGTAATTTAAAGAGCTCTATAATAATCTCATCAGTTTAAGTGCAAGCTCAAACTGACTGCATAACCAGTGTTGTGTACATTGACATCTAGTGGCTGAGAAGATAAAATCATAAGTGGCCTGCAACGTGCAATTATCTTAGTTAATCTTTTAATTGAGAAATGACCATTACATTCTGTAATGCTTGTTTTGTCAAACATATATATAAACCATTTGGTCATTGTAACAAAAAACTACTAAAACCATTAATCAATAATCAATGCGTTTGACTCACTGATCAATCCACTACTTTCAGTGATATTATGTTGTGCAGCCTTAAAAGGGAATCACACCATAACCAACACTTAATTTCACAACAAATAAAATTTATTCAATTATATATTACAAATATGTACATGTCATGTAACAAGTAAATATTAAAATAGACATTTTTTTAGAACTATCGTTCAAAAAGGCATTATGTTGAAAAAATAGGTTTTGTTGTGATCTCACATTGAAACTGCAAAAGGTTTTTTTGTTTTTTTCCATCGGAAGCAGACTTTAATGTGCTCGAGACACAAATGGACGACACGCGAGGAGTGAGGCCGCAGGAAGGGACTTAACACGAGGGCGCAAATTAAAAAAAGAGAGAAGAGCTGCAACACGTCAGTAAACCGCACAATTAAGTCCACAGTACAGCTTTTTGGGAAAAGTACAAACAACGCAACGCATGCACAGCATTTAAATCGCCAGAGTCAAAAATAACACCAGCTGTGACGTGGAACTCCAGATGAGGAAGGAAGAAACGGTAAGAACAAAAAAACACAACGTAAGCAAACACGTGCTTAAGAGTTTAAGCCGACGACGACGAGACCATCACGAAGAGGACGCTTGATATTAAAACCAACTTTGGTCCATTAAAACATGAGACGGAACAGGTTTACAATCAAAATATCTATTATTTTTTGTTTTTACAAGTTTAAAACAATAATTACATGGCTATTTACAAATGCACAAATTGTTTTATGTATAAAATAAGTTAAAAAAAATTAAGAGCACAGTCTATACACAATGTATGAACACACTTAAAACAATTGAACTCTCTGTCGTGGGACTCTGCTCGATGATGAGGAGGAGCACAAGCAGGTGGTGGTGGTTCTCCACCCTCTGCTGCGCCCTGGCTTTTGGTCTCTGCCCCCCGGGCCCCGTCCGCGACCAGCCCCCCCCCCCGCGCTCTCAGCGAGGAACACTCTGCCGCCCCCCCTCGTGGTCGGCGTGCCGGTTTCGGATCGCAAATTCGCAGTAGTCAAATTGTCTTTTTCCTCTGTTGCTCTTTTTTTTTACATTTTTTTTTTTACCATCGCCTTATTTTAAGTGCTTCACATTTTCCTTTACTTTCCTTCGAACCAGTTCGCCTCGAAGGCTCATATCGGAGTGAGGTCAAAGTCGTCGTTGACCTCCACGAGTGGGATGTAGAACTCTGGGATCTCAAAGATGCTGGTGGACTTGTAGGTGGCGGGGTCCAGCTCCTGCAGCTTGAGCTGCCACTCCAGACGCTGCACGGCGTTCAGGGCCGCCGCCTCGTGCTGCTGCCGCATCAGAAGACACGTCTGTGGAGAAGCGGGAAAAGGAACATCATCGTTTCACGCCACCAGACGTTTGTGAGGAGCAAAAGCAACTAGCGGGCTTAAGGTGAGCACGCGGTTTTAAAAAACCTGAAGGTAGACCCACTTAGTCTCAGAGCCTAGTTTGGTTTCCCCCCTTTTTAAAAAATAAAATACACTTAATTACTGTTAATAAAAAGTAGAGGTTGATAAAAAAAAGACAATTAAATTCAGGTTAAAACAGTAATGGGCCAAATAAATAAACAGAATACGATAACCTGATGTTCACCGGTAACACCGAGCTGATCAATGCCAGCATTATTTACTTTCCTTTATTAAAAGCCTTTTTGGCTCAGTCACAGCTCATCTGGATATTCGACACTACCGGTGGAAAGAAACTTGATATCCCCGTGCAAGAGGAAGAAACCTGTTTTGGTATTAGCGATAAACATCAAAGGTAACCTTTTACTGTGCCTACTGGTTAAATGCAGGTGGGCAAAAGAACCCAGACAACAATCACAGCGAACTCACCTTCAGTTTGTCAAACTTGTCATCGACATCCTGTAACCAGGACATGAACTGCCTGGCGTTGAATCGGTCTCTGACTGACGTCTTGCCATCGTCACTCTGTGAACCAAACGCGTGGTATTTATTTCCCATCCTCATCAAGAACGGACTGAAAAACCAAATCTCGGGGCCGACATCCAGATGCCGCTTACCTGGACGTCTTGAGGCATGTTGTACACTTCGGCGTCCAGTAAAACCGTGCAGGCACTGAACGGCAGCGTCTGATTGGCCAACGTTCTCGCTGCCCGGTAATGGACACGCAGGACTTCCTGTTCATTCGAAACAATCAGCTTTTCCTGAAGGGACAGAAAACAAATACAGTTACCCTGACATGATGTAGGCTTTAGGGGAAATGTATAGCGAGCAACTAGCGCTCCACTTGAGCAACGACAAGATAAAGCTGCCGGAGCCGACAAACGCACCCTCTCAATGCTGTGTTGAAGCCGTAGTTTCATGCGGACAACCTCTTGTTGTTTGAACATCTCCTTCAGCTGCTCCGGTAATGATGGAGGTGGAGTTATCTGTTCAAACACACCGTGGCAATGAGTCAATAGGCAGATATTAGTCAGAAGAATAGGTGTATTAGGTTAGTTGGGCTTTTTATTTGAACAGTATTTGACACACCCAAATAGATATCACGTTTTTTCAACAGTTTGTTTTTTTGAGTTGATTTGAATAAATAAAGAATGCTTTAAGTTCTGGTCAGTGTTCAGTCCAGGCTTCTCCAAACAAACCAACAAGAGCCGTGTGTGATTATTTAGCTTTGACGTTTACGATCATGATTCATGGCAGTGTGTTTAGCTACTTTTTCTCTAATTATCATTTAATGAAAGTTATCCTCCCTGGATCTATTGTAAAATCAGCTGTTAGTAGTGACCCAACTTGACCAAAAATGGGAAGAACTCACAGTTGGTATGCAGAGCTTGCTTAGTGGGTTTCCGTCTAAGAGGTAGGATCCGTTGAAGGTCACATATTCATCATAATACTGCGGCGGCTGTGGGGTGACGCTGCACAACACTTTGCGCTTCTCCTCGATCTTCCGCCGGATGTGCAGGAACTCATAGTACGGGTTGGCCCTCTCCGTCTGATAGGGCTGGATCTCCTCCAGCTTCACAGAGTCCACAATGGCCGCCAGGGACTGCTGGCCTCTCTCCTTCTCCTGCTGGCTGGCGGGGAACGGCTGCGAGCTCGCCGCTTTGGGCATCTTCCTCTTGCGCGGGTGGGCGACGTGCATGTCTCCGTCCTCGTCCGCCGAGCGAACCTTCAACCTTGCCCCGGACGAATCGGAATCCCGGTCTCCGGATTGCGGAGAGCAGCTCCCTGAGGCGCTGCATGTGCTGCTGCTGCTACTGTTGCAGCTGCTGCTGCTGCTGCTGCTACTGCCGCTACTGCTGCTACCACTACTGCTGCTGCTGCTGCTGCTGCTATTGCTGTCGGTCTGAATTGCGGACTGGACGGCGCTTTGACTCTGCTCTTCTCCGGCTGAAGAGGACTCTGGTCGCTCGTCAGCAGGCAGCGCCTCCATCGGCTCCGAGCCGCCGGCATCTGCCGTCGATTCTGAGGAGCACTCGGCGAGCGCGCCGTCCCCGACGGGGGGACACTCCGTTATGACGGAGACGGCCGCCTCGCAGTCGTTCTTCTGCGCGCCCTGCGGCTGCCCGGTCGTCTCTTCTGCCTTTTGTCCGGGGCTCGCGCCGTCCGATGACGCCGGGAGTGCGGTGTCCCTTTGCTGCGTCTCCGAGTCGAGACACGGAGCCTCAGTGTCGCCGGGAGGCCTCAAATTCTCGCCGTCTCTGTCACTTGCGTCCGTATCGTCTTGGGAACATTTGGACTCCGGGACGGTTTGTCCGGAGCCCGGCAGCGCCTCCCCTGCTGCTGCGCCGGGAATGTGGGCACTGGTAGAGGGGACGGGACTTCCTGCGCCCTCTGCTCTGAAGCTCTCCGTCTCCATACTCTCTTCATCGGCTCCGTCCGCACTCTCCAGAGGTTCGTCTTGAAGGTCAGGAACGTGTGGGGCACCCGGTTCGGTTTGCTGCGTGCTCTCCGCTCCAGAATCAGCGATCTGCTGGACGCCTTTAGTGTTGGCGAGCTGCAGCGGCTCCGCTAACAGACAGGCCGTAGGTGTCCATGGTTTATCTGAATCCCTGCTAGAGCGCTCTGCCTGGGAGGTCTCGGTTAGACCCGGGACGTCCTTTTCAACGGGAGGATCGCAAGAGGGAGGAGCTTTCTGCTCCGTCGACTCCGTTTGAGAGCTAATGTCCTCCAGAAGGTTCAGGCTTTTACTCGGAGGATCTTTGTTTACCGTTAAAACTACCGAAGGGCTCCCTGCTCGCTCTGCGGCCAAATCGCAAACTGAATTCACGCATTGTTGTTGACTGCCGAGGACCTCTTCGGTCTCCGCCGAGCTCTCTCGTGTTCCCAGGGTTCCCGGCTCTTCGGCGGGCTGGCTGCATTTCGGCTGACACTCAACGGCTTTACATTCAGTCGACGAGTTGGCATCCTCGTCCAGGATGGCCCGGAGGTACGGGGACTCGTGCCTGCCGGGCAGCAGCGTCCGATTACTTTGCGGCACATCTGGAAGACTGTTGCAATCTTTATCGGGACCCAGCGGCGACCTGGTGGCTTGAATGACGAGGGAAGACTGGAGAAAGGCGGGCTGCGAGTCCGAGGTTTCCAGGTTCATGTCGGAGTCGTACTCGACGTGCCGCGAGGTCAACGTGGTCGCCTGACAAGAGTCCTCCGAGCTGGCGACAGAAACTAGGGACACCGACCTGGACATGAAGCCCCCGCGTTCGCTCTCCGGCCTGGGCGACCTGGTCAGACAGTTCTCCACGGCCGACATGACCTTCGCGCCGAGAGAAGGCAGACTTTTCCCATCGAGCGACATCGTCCTGGGGCTGGCGCCGTCTTTCGGGATCTTATCTCGGCCGTGGACGTCTGAGGCGTCGGAGCTCTTTGAGCGATTGAGCTCCTTGTTCAGGCCCGGATCAGACTTCGTCCGGTCCTTCGTCTTGGGCTTCCCTGGATCCGCCAGAGGCCGCTGTTTAAGCCTCTCCCGCTCTTTTTGTTTGATTTTCTCCAGGTGCTTCCGATGCCACTGTTCGATCTCCTGGTCCTTGAGGCTGAGCATCCGCTCGAAGCTGGTCTGCATCAAGTCATCGTTCACAAGCCTCTTCTCTTTGGGCTTGGCGTCTCGTGTTGCCAGCGAGGCTTTGGACTTGACCTTGTCCGCATCCACGTCGTTGGTTTTGGGCTTGCTGTTTTTGGCCTGCTGGGAGCGGTCTTTGTACCGCTCCTTGTCCTTGTGTTTATCGGCGTCTCGCTCGCGGTCTCGGCGGTCCTTCTCCGGTGTCCTCCCGAGGTCTTCCTTGGATTTTGAGGATAGAGACTTGACACTCTCGGACAAATATCCCTTTTTCTCTTCTAAAAGTGATTTGAGATTGGAGCTCGAGGAAAGAGTGCCATCTTTTAATTTGTCTCTCTTTTTCCGGTCGCAGTCCTTTTCTTTTGAGCGGTCCGATCTGCCATGATCCGTCCTCTTATCGAGAGATCTGCCTTTCTTGTCAGAGTTGGTGCGCTCCTTTTCCCTGTGATCCCCAGCGCCGTATTCTCTGTCCTGCCTATCTGACCGCTTGTCGAACTTATCTTTATTTTTCCTGCTGTCCTCGTGCTTTTTGGTTGTGGATAAAGATTTTAGCTTCTCGTTCTCTTTGTAGTTTTTATCTCCAGGCGAGTGGGAAGAAATGGTTCCGGTTCTCTCTTTCTCCTTCCAGCGATCCACTGAGTTCTGAACTTCAGCTTTGTCAGCATGCTCCGCTTTAACCTTCTTTTCCTTGTCTGGATGCCTTTTCTCCATTTTCTCTGAATCCTTCTCTTTTCCCGGGAACCTCTTGTCAGTTTTATCGCGTGAGCCTTTTTCAGAGAAGTCCAGCTGTTCTTGATCAGCTGTGATCCCACTTATGGGTTTCTCTTCCGTCTCTTCTTTCATGCTGTTGCTCTGCAGCAAATCGTCAGGAATCCGCCCTGAGCCGAGGCAGTCCGCCCGCTCGTCACGCTCACTCGGCTTCGAGTCCTTTAGCTTCTCCTCTTTACCAGCAGCCTCCTTCCGCTCCTTTTTCACCGCCTTGTCCTTCTCTCGCTCCTCTCTCGGCCTCTTCTCCTTGCCGGCCGGGTGTTTCTCCTTCGCGTTTCTCTCGTCCTTGGCAGGGGAGGAATCGGCGGCCTTGTGGACTAAACTGTTGTCGTCACCTTCCTTTCTCGCTGGCAGATGTTCGTCGGTTTCATCACTTTTGAAGAAATTCTCTTTCCAGAACTCTCGGTCAAACTCCAAATTCCTGTGGCCGTCTTTCCTGGGCTCCTTCTGCCGGTGGTGGCTGCGATCTGCCTCGTATTCCCTCCGGTGTTTGTCCTTCTCCTTGTGTTTAAGCTTATGCTTCTTTACCACCTTGCCGTCCAGGTCGGTCTTCCGTAAGGCACCTTCAGAGCCGTCCACGCTGTTTCCTATGCTACCGTCTCGGTCGGGACTTAAGCGGCCATCGTCCCCGTCTCCACTGGAGTCCTTCTGCTGATGCTTGCTCTTCTCCTTGTGCTTGCAGCCCTTGGTGCTGGAGCCTTCCGTGCAGTAGTCTGCCTGTGCGTAGTGGTTGTATTTCACACCGTCCACCGGACATGGGCTGTCACTGATGGAAATGCACATCTTAGTATTTTCCTGTTTGAGTGGCGTTTGTTTATCCGTCAGGCTGTGGTTCAGTTTTGGAGACTTGATGGACGACAAATGGAAGAGGTGGACGGATGAGTCATCTTTAGGACTGAAAGACATCTTGAACGAGTCTTCCTCCCTTCCCTTGTCTGTGCTCTCGGACACGGTTGCGAGAGAGAGGACCAACGTTTTGCTGTTCTCCTTCCCGTCCTCTTGGTTTTCCTTGTTCTTATTCTGGCTTTTGCTCTTCCTCTTGACTTTGCCCTTGTCTTTCTGCTCAGTATTCTCCTTTTTAGACCTGGGTTCTGCCTTGAGGCTCTCGGAGCTTTGCGAGCAGGTGGGGGAACTCCTTTTGTCCGGAAGGCTCTCCATTTCGTCGCTGGAGGTATCAGAGCTGCAGTGGACACGGGAACTCTTCTGCTTTTTGGACTTTGGGGTGGAATCCCCTTTTCCACCCGGCTTTCCTGCCACATGATTCCTGTCCTTTTCTTCCTTCTCACGCTGCCGGAGTTCCCTCCGGAGAATGTGTCTGTCGTTCAGGGCTTTACTGAGATCCTCCTCCTCTTCCTCGTCTTTGAACTCGTACTCGTCCAGCCCCGGAACGGACGATGATGCTTTCGTGACAGGTTTACCGTCGGAGTCTTTTTCGGTATCGGAGTCCTCCAAGTTGTCGTCTACACTGGAGGGATTGACGGACAGCGGGTCTTCAGATTCTGTGGTGATGAAAAGCGCCACGTTAAAATAATACAAAACGTGACGTTAAAAACGTATGGTGAGGTCATCTCTAGAGCATCCTCTGCCGACCTGAAGACGTGTCGTCTTGGTCCGACAGTGGCACCTCTCCCTTCAATAGCTTCTCCAGCTCCTGAGAGTCAGCCACATCCACGGGCCGCTCGCCACGTTTGTTTGCCTGGAAGGCGTTGCCACCGTGGCGCAGCAGCAGTTTCACAATCTGTAGAAAGCACAACAATGATTTAGATTGTAGACAAAACATGAGAACCAGGATGGTTGGAAGACTTAAACTTTAGAATTGTTCGGCGACGTTTTGTAATGGCAGGCACTTAAGTAAGTAAACAAGTAAGTTAGGAGACCCTCAACTATTGCAGAAAAACCCACTGTATGTTTTATTTTGGATTCGGACAAAGCTCAACAGGACGGTCCAACTACATATTCATTGTATGTCGGACAGTCATCAGAATTTCATCAAGTTCTTCATGAAAGAGGAAGGACAAAGTTCCTGTGAGTCTCTTACATCTTTATGTCCGCTGCTAGAAGCATCGTGGAGGGGCGTGTCGTCATCCAGACCCTGCGTGTTCACTTCTGCACCTGCTGCTATTAAGACCTTGGCCACGTCGTAATAACCAAGATTACAGGCTTCATGAAGAGGAGTCCAACCTGGTGAGGAGACAATCGTGAGTTGTCAGCTTTGAATAAGCAGCTTGATGCCATTAATAGCGACCATACAGACTCAACTAAAGTTGTTGGGCGATTGTCGTGAGGGGCATCGTACCGGCAAAGTCTTTGACGTTGACGTCAGCTCCTAGGCTAATGAGCTCTTTAACTTGCTTGGCGTCGCCCCTGATGGCCGCCATGTGAAGGGGAGTCTCCCCTCGCTCGTTCCTCTTGTTGACTTTGTCCTTCTGACGAGATGAGGCGCTGCTGGGGACTTTCTTCTGCACAGGAGTCGTTTGTGAGGGGTGACTGGGAGTAGAGTCTGAAAACAGGCAGAGGGAGAAAAAGGCCAGTCAGAGGTTAAAATAACTATCGGAATTGGGGATATATCTATATCTATATATCGGCCAGCTAGATTACTTAAATTTAGCTTGTTTTAAGATATAGCCAGCTAAAGCAGCTTTCTTCAAGATAGCAGGGACATTTCAAGAAAATAATTTTATTTGAGTTCAGCAGCTACACAGAACATGACATATTGCCTGAATGGGAAGCAACCTTGAATTATTGGAAAGCACATTGGTGAAAATGCTCAAGGGCATGACTTATCCAACAATGAATCTACAGAGCCACCTTGGAGATGTTGGTCGAGACGAGAGGGCAGGCACACTAACCTGGACTATTGGCAGTCATCTGCATTAGGAGCGCCATCTGTTTGCGCTCTGACAGAGGATACCCAAACAAAAGGTTGGGAGCCTGGGACTTCTTGCCCCCAGACTCCTTTTTCACCTTCTTCTTGTCTGGTACATCTTTTTCTGCAAAACAACCAAGAAAGATTTAAGGAAACCGCAGGAAATAAAAAAAAATAAAAACTCCAGCAGCATTTTCATCGTCACAGTGACATCGTTTTCCTCTTTGCCTTGTATCTGTTGAGAATGCGGAGAAACAGATAACAAGCAGGTTTGAAAACGAAGACAGCGCTCTCTTAAGCCAGCCTGGTGCCCCCAACACTCCATTACGCCGCTCGTTACTAAACACAGACATGCGTGATCTGTAACGGGGGCAAATGTAGAGCGAGAAACACACACGTGCATGTGCGTTTAAAGCAGCTTCGTGGCGCAAAGTGGGTGACGTGACTTGTGGAGGACACGAGGGCTGAGGATTGGGCTGCAGCGTTTACCTGCGTACATCCTGCAGGGAGGCACTAATCTCTCTCCCCAGGTCTCACTCGATTGGCCTGGGTCTGAGTCATCTACAGTGCAAAGCAGAGAGGATGGTGAGGGGAGAGAGGAGGGAAGGGAGAGCGAGGGGAGGGGGTGGAAGGGTGGGAAAGCACTGCATTAACGCTCACTCTCTCGCTCACCCCCCTCCTCCTCTCACATGTCCTCAAATACAGACAAGCACAAAGACTTGCACTCCACGCACAGATTATGTATGAGTCATGGCAACACAGGAGAGGAGATCCGACGTGGTCAGTGGATTCATTACTTCCCTTTTTCCTACAGCTGCCCAACGCAGGACCTGAGTGGAAGAAAGAAAATGCTGGAAGGCCATGCCTCCCTCCAGCCCAGTTCAGCTTTATGACCTGCGCAACATAAATTAAACCTCGGGGAAAAACAAAATTGAGGGTTCTCGTCTGGTAGGATGACGCATGGCCACACAATTAAATGCTCTACAGAGGAGATGAAGGCACATCGAGAGGACCTTAAAATGGTCTGTGAACACATTACTGTACTCCACTTGGCTCCATGATACACTAACCTATTTTTAGTTCTGCAATCTAAATATACACTTACATGTACGGTGTAAAAATCAAGTGAATGGTGGATTTTTCTGGGACCTTTTCTTCAGTGGTGGGTTAACTTACATTTGGTCCGTTGGAATTTAAAGCCCAGAGAAGGTGTAATTGGGAATAAGTTGACATAAACCACCCGGAGCAACAGTAAAGCCACTATTGTTTTTTTTGGGACAAGAGGTTCATTGGATAGAGGAATAAAGATAAATAAGGCTTTTGACAACAGCAGAAGGATTTACTGACAATTTCACCTGCCTAATCCCTTATCTTTAAAAAGCGCAAACAATAGCACTTATAAAGAACTGGCAGATAACATTCATCAACATGAAACTCGATTAAGAGCCATGTGTTGCCATAAGACAGACAACAGTCAAAACTTAACATAACTACATTTATAACCATTTTTATCCATAGGTGTCTCATTCCTTTTTCTCAAGTCTTATAAAACAACCGACAGGTTCAACACAACAGGCCTCAAATTAATCCAGTAAGCGTTTAAATGTGTATCCTGATGCAAACAAGTCGAAAGCCTCAGACGTAAAGACGGTGCCTAGAGAAAACCTTCCAACCACAGGCCATCGGGGGGCAGTGTGACGACATGGCAGCCAGCCAGCCGGCAGCGTGGCTGTTGAAAGAGGAGCAGCAGCAGCAGTTCTTACCTGTGTCGGAGTCTCGCTCCTCAGTCCGGAGCGGACTGGCAGTGAAGGAGAGCTTGCGCTTCATGGAAGACTTGGCTTTCCCTTCCTTCCCCAGCAATTCACTCCGGTCCAGCTTCGGAGTTTTGGTGAAAGGGGACAACTTTTCTTTGCTCTGTCAGAGGTGAGATGGGGATAAAAAAAACAAAAGAAAAGTCAGGAAGGCACATAGGCGTCGGCACATTAGTGGGTGAGCGTGTGTAAACAAAACAGTTGCGACAAGATAAACTGAGGAGGTCCCAAATAAAAATCTTTGTAAGCTAGCGTGAGTGCACAATAACCGGGTTGCGCTTATTGTAAAGGTAGTATTTCAGATGAGACTAAAAAGAGTCCTAAAACACAGCCCCAGCATAAGAGAGTATAAATTATATTACTGGCATGATGTTGTGTTTCTGCAAGATATCATCTTGGTCATGCAGGCAGCAGGTTTGCCTCCATGACTCAGTAAAATCCCAAAAGGCCTCTGCCAGCGGAAGACTAACCGATGAAGAGTGACAAGGTTTTTTTTGGGGGGGGTTTACCACAGAATTGAAATACAAAAGAGAAATAAGTATTCCTACCACATTTCCACAACTGTGGAAGAAAAATAGAATAATAACTATATGCTTATTACATTAATGGCATTCGTTATAATACAGAAAGGAAAACGGAACATGAAAGCCACTGATATCTTGAGGGTGTCTTTGCATGTCTAACAAATAATTGAGTAAGAGTAAGATATACAGTATATGCTGGCACAAGCACACACTTGTCTCGAAGATTAAACAAATACTCCAATTGCTGCTCTTTCACGAGTGATCGTCCCCACAGCAGCAGACCTAAACTTTTCAGTTCCAGCACTTTAGCGAGCTGCACTTTGGTGCAGTAAAATACATTTCTGGCAGGAGGAAAAATGTCTACAGTGTGCTGCTTCTTTGATCTCAGCGAAGCAAAGGGCCAGCTGTGCAAAGCTGAAGTGTTTGGCAGTGATAAAAGTAGCGGTTTGAAATGAGAAAAGGTTCTTCTTTTGAAATTAAAAATCAGACATAAGAGGTCTGTTATTTATGAAAATAAAATTAGAAAGTTGTTTTTGGTACAACAAGTTGCAAGATATTTATTTAAATGACTACTGGATCACTTCCAACGCTGCAGTGCACACCTGCACCACTATATAAGCAATCGACTGTTGGGCTGACGGTGTCTGGTTGTAAAATAAAAAAATGAATAAAAAAGAAAACATATCGACCAACCCAATTAGGTAATAGGTAAAGAGAATGGCGTAGCTCAGCGTTACAGCGAAAGGGTGCGTTTACAAGTCTGGGTTGGAGAACCTCAAGATCCAGTTGCAAATAAGTGCCACAACATAAAATACACACAGACCAAGGGAAGCTTTGATTAAATATAGGCCTCGCTGTGAGAAAAGGAAATCTGCTTCACCTTTTAGCCCTCAATGCTAATAGTGTTTACGGCAATCTGCTATGGTTGCCGCCAAGTTAGATTGCAAAGATTAATTAAAGACCATTTAAAGTATTCAAAGACAAGGGGTTAGGGTGACAGATCTAAATGAACAATGTTTTGTCAAATACTGTGTTCAAGGTCAACATTGAAGTTGAGCCAACAAGGATAACAAGTTCTTAAAGCGATCCAAAAATAAAATTTAGATTGTCGACTTTGTATCTAATGTTGTGCTAAAGAGGAAAAGAAAAAAAACATGCAACAAATGATAAGAGCGCTACAAAGTAAGCAGTCATGTTTCTCTTAACACGCATGGACGCAAAGTAAAAACAGAAAACTGCGTGCTGGAAGTCTTTTATAGTGATTTTCAGGGTCTGTTGTCAAACACAAACGCACCTTCTTCCCCGCCTGCTTATCCACCATGGCTGCATCTCTGTCGCTCCCAGGTTTGGCCATGGTGCGGCACCTGACTAGCTGTGACAGCTACAGCACAGCAGGATCATCATGCACCTGGAGACAGAAAAGAGGATCATTGAGAAGCAGGTTTAATATATATTTTTCTACATTACATTCTGGGTGGATGGGCGGTTTCTTTAGACTTGGTGTAAACGGGCAGTGACACTGTAAGAAAAGGAGGCATGTTTGAATACAGTTACAATTGGATTTCAAAGGCTAAGCTTTGAGACAAAGTCTACTTCACAGAGGACACAACCAAGGAAAGAATAGCATCACATGAAACGACAGAGCTACAAAGATGTGCGTTAAGTGAAACAGTTTTCAGGGATATCTATTTGAAAATCTGTAGACAGAGAAAAAAAGAAAAGGCAGGCAACAACTACACAAGGCAGCATGAATTCCAGCTTTATGTGGTCATAAGCTTCAGACAGGCAAACACCCCCCACCAGCATGTTGTCACTATGTTGGGGACGCACCATGGCACGACACAAAGCTGCTGGGATTTGCCATCACACCTAGGTGAGATGTCTCGCTCTTCAAACAGCCCTGAGATCTGATTGGTCAAGCCACAGACACCACAGTTTTGGACTGAGAGTTGATAAGCAGATCAATCCTCTTAAAACTTTCTCTCCAAACTGACCCCGATCAGTGTTGCAGTATCTCTTTAAATCAATATTTTCTAAAATTGGCTGGCGTCGCTATAAGGTTAAGACGACCTTTCCGAATGGACTGGCGTTGATAGAATTATGGATTCAGGCCCTCCAGCTTTCAGCGGTTAGGCATCTCCAACGCTTTCCGGACCAAACCTTGTCGGTGAAACCTTTGTCCTATTTAGCTGCTCGAGAGAGGTCCTTACTCCCGGTCCTGGCAGCTCAACAAGAAAGAAAGCCTCCTGTACCTCCTTGGATACAACTTGTGTGTTCGAGAGCACAAACCGCGACACCAAGAAACCCAACCGTTCACAAGATCCCCAATCGATTCCTGCAACAAAGGATACCAAGTTTCGAGAAACGCAACAAACCCTATCAACGCGAAGTAAGGCTCTGTCTGGGTAGAAGTAAGATTAGCATGTGTTGTTATTTTTGTTTTGATGTTTACTGCATTGTGAGTGATGGTGTATGAGTATGAACTGATTGACTAAACGGGTGATAAAGTTAACTGCCATCTTGTCTCACTGTTCCGCGGCCTTCCGTCTTTCTTTTGATTTATCATCTACTAAACAATTCACCTGTCCCTACACACATATAGATTTAGCTACAGACAGAGGTTAAACACACGTGGTGTACAAACACTGCCTTCTTGCAACACCTCTGCTCATAGCCTCATGTGGTTGTTAGCTTGAACACACACACACTTCTTTTTATATTGGGATATCTTATAGCTTTTGTTGATTTCAAAGGGTCAAATGATCTGATTGGTATTGTTGGAAGTTAATAAACCCTGTTTCTATATGCATGTGTACTATGATGCTGGCTGGCAACAGCCAGTGTATGAACTGAAATATTCAATTCCTCGTTCTTAATGAGTGAATATTAATTATGAGGCTTGATTTATAGTTTGGTCATTAGTCCCTTGTTATTTATTTAGTGAATTATCGTAGCGTAATACTAATACTTTAATTGAAACACTAGCCATTAACCAAAACAATGCCCCTACTCGTCAGTTTAACCAAGGTTCTCTCTGATGTGGTCTGCGTTAGCGTAGCAGCACGCGGAGCAGAGTGAATGGGGAGCCTGCAGTAACTGGAGAAACTCTAACAGGCAGTTGAGCATGAGGCAGATAATGGCACATGTCAGTTATCTTGTCACATGAAGAATCCTGTTTTGAGTCACAAGATAACGTACTTTCGATTCTCTGTCTTTTTTTTTTACGTGCTCTCTCACTCTCGCCTTTACGCTGTGTTAACCTGTCTGCTTTCCAGCTGGCAGAAGCCATCAGTGACGAGAAAAAGAAAGCAATTCCTTCTCAATGAAAACCGCATTTGCGTGGGGAAAGCCCCGTGGGCAGAGCTAATTTATAACACCCCCAAAGTGAGCTGAACTGAATCTACCAGTTCTGCGCCGCTACAACGCCGGCATCACATGCAGATGACAGAGTTGACCACAACTCTACAATTAAATATAATATATTTATATATTTATATTTTAAATATTTAAAAAATATTTAAAGAAAGAAAAAAAGAAGAAAAAAAAGGTTGGTTATCATTCCTCCTCGATTTCACCCTTTTGTAGTATCTATTGTATCGGGACACACAAGAGCTGCCATCACGATGTGAAACAACAACCAAAGTGAATGGGGCAGCCCCGTGACTCATTGTGCAGCCCGTTAAAACATCTCTACAAGCTACAAGCGGCACTGGTATGATTGTTTTGGTTCTCTATTTTTTTTTTTTTTTTAAATCACATAGCAGGGCTTCTACATGGGGTGTCCCCCGATGGTAAAGAGAACACAAACAATTCAGTTTGCCAACTAAAAGTGTACCTGCCACATAACTTTATGTGCAGCTTATCAAAATTAGCAAGGATTTTGCTATGCTAACCGGTGAAATGGTGACATAAAATCAGCCCAGTGATTTGAGCACACAACTGGTGTAGCTTCATTTATTACAAGCAGGCGGCACAGTGAAGCCAATGCCAAAGCATACGCTTTATGGAGGGTTTACTGTGCTCGACGGGTTGCTGACGTTACCAGAGCTTTATGCAGCGTCTCTACGTCACTCATCCTCATTCCATTCCAACTTCTGTTTATTGGTTGACAAAAAACATGTGAACCGGTGTATTACAAGATGGCTGAGAAGAAATCAACGAATGTGAGGATTCACAAAAGGCAAACCGCTAATCAAGGGGTGAGGAGACGATGATGCAATCAGTCAATTCAGGATTCAGTCGGTCAGTTGTATAAACAAACTAGTTCCTTGGTTCCCCTTTCAGACGTAACCAATAGATGGCGGAGTAGTTGATGATATTAGCTATCTGCATACTACTTTTTTAAACAGAAATGATGTGTTAGAATGTGTTCTTTACTGCTCCATAGCGATCCTCCTCTAGCCAGCTGGGTAACATCACAGGCACAAACGCGTACGCACACCACAAACGTCAGAGGGGAAGATTTTATGTAAACTACATTAGGTGTGTTGTCGCACCCGTTTGCTTTGGGAAACTAGTGGAGCACGTTTACTCTAAAACGTCTTTGTACGGGTGAGAGAAAGTCTGGTCATTTTTTCCAGTTTTGGAAAATGTATGCTATTGCAGTCTAGGTTTTATAGTTGGGAAATTTAATTTCAATATTCCAGAAGTTAAATATGTTTGTGATTCAATCTTAACATTAAAATAGTTTATTCTTTCCACAGCAGGGCCCATTTCATTCTTGGCATTTCCAAACAGTATACAGTTGTTCATAACAGTACATTAGGAATAATAAGACTACAGACCTCAAAAGGCAAGTCAACATTTTACTCTTCAAACTCACTTTCTGACTTTGGCTGATCCTAGGTAATAGCGCAGTGTCGACAGGTATCGGTTTTCTGACACGGCGCCGTGCTGCTCAGCTGAGGCCAGAGAGACGTCCATCATTAGTCAGCAGTCTGCAGCAGCATCGTCATTCAGGCGGCTCGATGGGAGAATTGAGGAGCCCACGTTGGTATACAGAGGCTGGTGTGAGAGGGTGGGGGGTGGCATTAAAGCGGAATAGGCAGCCCCCGGACTCGACCATGAAAATAAAACGCTGACAGCTCCAACCTCACCCAAAGATGAGGCGAGGAGGGCGTCCCTATAACCACAAAGGCATTTTGGCCACCGCCAGTGTGGCGTTCTCATTTACTGCCACTTCATGAACAGTTTAGGGCCGAGGAAGCCAGTGTACCATTAACCTTGGGCTCTTTCAGGTTTAGATCCATGCCGGCAATGATGATTACTACGGCAGAGATCGGTTTTAAGGATGTTAATAATTAACCGTTTAACCGGCCATGAAAATTGATTGATTGTAATGCCCTTTCTTGAAATCACAAGTCAACAGCCTGTGAGACACCGGAATTTGGATTGGCTCCGGAGGAGTTGTAGCAATCATTCACCATAAATAAACTGAAATGTACACCAATGGCAATGAAGTGTTCACGGCTATTAAGCCGCCGCTAACTTCACGCTGCCAGTCACATTCACGGTTGGCCGGCGATCTCGCTATACACCGCAGGAATCATGACAGAGTATGCCAGGCAGAAACACAGCAGACAAGCTTGTAGCTAAACTCGGGAGACTTCCAGGGAAAAGGCTGCATGTGACCATGACTAGGTATGCCACATTTTGGCTGCTAACTCGCAGACAAATTAACTGGGGACTTGGTTGTCTGTCTTTCACCTACACTGCGGCTGGTGGTAAATTAGGGATTGAACTTCTTTGTGCATGGGTGGGGTTAGTGTCACAGCTGGGCAGCTTGATACGCGGTGTTCACACTAAAAAGTGACTCAAGGTAGTTTGACTGTGCGACGATCAGAGGTGGACGTCACGGTTACTTCATCATTTGGTTTGAGGATTGTTTTGTGTTTTGTATCCCGGAGTTCAGCAATAAGGCCATACTGGATAATTTATTTTCAACCAGTGAACAGGAGCGACCATATTTGGATGGCAGAAGAGTATCATTTGTTCCTAAAGGAGTCTATGGTTCACTCACACACATTTAAAAAAAAAAGATCTCCTGATTAGTTTGATCACATACAGTTAAACATAGTTGTAGAAATATTAACTGAAAGTACATAAAGTACAATGAAGAACACCAACATGTGTAAAAAACTGTAAAAAAGCGAAGAATGGAAAGCCGATAAGACGTAATTTAGCAGCAAGGAGCAGAGACGCTGATGGGACAAAACAAACTAAGCGGCAAATATTTTAATATAGATGAATATTGATTGATTGATGATCTGCCATTTATTTTCTCAACTAATAAATGCTATAATATTTAATGTTTTTTTCTGACACCTAAAATATGTCACATTGAGCTCCAGAACAAAATGTAAAAGCAGACAGACAACAGAGTTAGCAAATGCATATCAGATTAAAATG